TAGTCCTGAAATGTTCAGAAATATTTAATCATTAAGCCTTGATAAAAAAATCTTATAAAAACCGTTGTGGAGGACGCTACTGACATTTTATGTGTTGTCTTCTACAAAGATGCTGAATAGCAAAGGGATAGATTAAATGGCAAAGAGGAGGAATGAAAACACCGTGTGTAACATGAAAAGAAGTACAGTACGGAGAACATTCTGATGCAGGGCATATGTATTTTGCCATATCTGTGCATCACTTTGTCAATAAAAAACCTTGCTAACAAATAATATTGTGTTCTGTTGTTACACTAGTAGTTTGTATTTATTTAAGAACATACAGTATTGTTGGATAGCATATTCAAGTAACTGTGAGTATGATTTGCTGATGTAACAACATAGTATTAGTTTAAAACAGAGAAGGTGAAAACGAATCTGAACTTTACTGGAATAATAAAATAAACGCTACTGTAACTCAACTGGTTTCGAACTATTGCTTGTGGGATTTCAAGTCATCTATTGAGAAAAGAAGTGCAACTGGAAAAAAGGATTAACAAGTGTTAGTTTGTAGGGATTTAATTGGTTTCAGATATGATGACAGAACGAAATCATTTAGAGAACCACTGGAAATCAGGGAGTACGGGACAACTATTCCCTCCTGGTTTGGGACTACATAGCAGTAAGCACTAATGACCCCATCGGGGTATAGAACACAAGACCTTCAGGTTACTAGTCGAGTTCATTGACCATTCAACTACTAGGACGTAATGCAATGTTCCATGAATTCTACCTCTGTCCCTTCGCGATTTCTAGCATCAGCCGAAGGGGTCATGGCTGCGTATAGCTAAAGAGTCTGAAACTAAGACGAAACAGCTGTCTAATACTCTCTGGTTTCCAATGTTTCTCCTACTGTTATCAATCCGTGACCACAGTGGAAAGAATGCTCCAAAATATATAAAGGAGCGGTTGCATTTTTCGAACTTACTGACCTAAATTCTATTTAAATTGCTTTCAATCATACAGAGTCATTAGTGGAGAATTACTTACCTAAACAACGGCCTGGCAGTTAGAGGTTTAGTATAGATAGACGTCAAGATAAATCTTTGATTGTATCACATTGTAAGTCTAATTCGTGGGGTTAATTACTAGACAGGATCATTTTTTATACTTTTGATTACAGCTTGATGCCATACCGTATTTTCAGTACAAGTATGGAATTTTCAGCATGGATATCGGTAGCCCAAATTTTGCAGGCCGACCATAGATATTGGGGGTGCGTCGGCAGGGGATCGAACCCCGGACCATGTGCATGGTCGGTGAGAGTCCTAACCACTGTGCCACCGACGCAGTGGGATGTTGACAATTGTTTGATTTTTGACTTATGATACCCATTTTGAATTTCACCTCGGGATTAGCAATTAGCTATTGCGTAAAAATCAATTAATTTCTGAACTTTTTTAAACCTTTGAACCATTTACTCAAAGCTGGTTCATAAAAGGTATCACGAATATATCTAGTACTACATTTAACACCTCATTATCTCTCTCTATTCTTATAACTTAACTGACAAAATGTCGACAGTAAGCGAAGCGTCCAAAGTTGTTCTTTTTTTTATCAACTTCTATTATAATTCATTCATATTATCATTTCGCTTTAGTTTTTTCTTCCTGTTTATTTCTAAATTATTCATCCATTTCATTTGAACAAGGAAATTCACTGAAGGCAGACGATTTATTTTTGTGTTTTGTAGTTTTCTTCAAAGGATCAAATCGTGTGATCTATATTTTCAGACAAGTTGTACATGACAAATACAGATATCATATTACACTTCATTTGCATAAATTTTAATTGTCTGTGGAAAATACAGACCCACATGACACATACACAAATTTTTATATTTCTACAATACAGATTGTGTGTGACATTCATACATCAGCTAAAATGTAAGCAAACTTATGTACATTTGAACGATGTTTACTTTCATCAGCAGAATATATAGGTTAATTGTCTATCATGTGGTTTTATGTGTTTAGAATATTTCCCTACACATAAACTATCTGCTTAAAGCATTAAATACACGTATTTAAATGAGGATTGTAAACTCTTTTGTTTAAAAACGCCAACATATCAGGCCTTAAGATATTTTTTTTATTGATTGAAACTTATGCTATCATTTGATTACTGTTGCTTTCAGCGAATGTGGTATTTTATAATATTTGGTATCAAATTGGATTTTAATTAGTGATTTTATTCGATGAAAATACTTTCGACAGTTTTTAAACTAAAGTTTGGCTCATATTGTCATAATAGAGTGTTTTTTTTTAAAGTAAGGTAATTCTTGTGACGTCGACCAATCAAATTTCACACGGAAAAATTTCATCATGAGCTAACATCGGTTAGAGAACCATTGGAAAACCAACACGGAGTACTGGACGGCTGTTTCATCAGCCCAGTTCGGTACTGTCCATCAGTACGCACCCACCGCCAGGGTTAGGACCCAGGACGTTCTGGTTACAAGGTGAGCTTGCTCGTAGACCATTAAGCCAGTGGGGACCGATCCAATGGCCAGCCAATGAATTCTAACTTGTGCCAATTCACGATATAGTGCGACCACTAGCCAATGTCCTCTCTGGTGAGTATTTGTCTTCACGCCCGATTTGCCGTACCCACTGGTCATGACTTCTCACTAGAACTCAAGTTGTGGTGAGAGCTGTCTACTAGCCAAATTGGTAGACAGTAATTTACGTCAATGTTTACGTTCTCAAGATTTGTCGTGAGAAAATATGAACAAAGATTGATTCAAAACCGACCACAGCAGACTTTGCGTAGGCGGATACAGTTAACATATAGATGATCTGACATTCAAGAAACAGTCACAAAGAGATGAAAGATTAACTTTAAGTGAGAAACAACCAATCAGAAGACTGTGTTTGTTTGCTTAACTAATCTATAATAATGTACATGAAAATATATAAATATGCTTTGATTTCCTTAATAAACGATCTGTTGCCTGGCCCTTGTCTTCTGTCGTTACAAAGTAACTACCTACTTGAATAGAGCCAGTCGCTAGTTAGCGTGATATTGATATTCACGTGAGTGACTGATGCTCACTAGTAATTGGCCCCATTTCAGGCAGTTACCTGGGGTTCTAGTAGGAAACCGTGACCAGTAGGGTAAATCAGGTCAAAGGTGAGAACAGTTACTCATTGAAGAAGACATTGCTAAGTGGTCACGCTATGTTGTGAATTGGCAGAAATTGCAATTCATGGGCTGGCCATTGGATCAGTACCCGGTGGCTTAATGGTCTACGAGCTAGCTCGCCTTGTAACCAGAACGTCCTGGGTCCTAACCCTGGCGGTGGGTGCGTACTGATGGACAGTACCGAACTGGGCTGATGAAACAGCTGTCCAGTACTCCGTGTTGGTTTTCCAATGGTTCTCTAACCGATGTCAGCTCATGATGAAATCCTCTAACCAGTCAAAGAAAATCCCTACAAACCAATACTTGAAGATGTTAAAATAATCAGATTTTCTATCGTGTAGTTTCATTTTTTTATCATTGGCACAGGGCTTTTAGTTGTACTATTCAGTTATAATATTTAAGATATATTTGTAATTTTGACATACATATTAAAACGGAAGGTTTACTGTTTCATATTTTCCTACTGTGATAGAGAACTATGTTAGTTGAGGCAAATTGCATAGTCAAACTAAAACATGTAGCCACTGACTTTTTGTCTAAGTCACATAGGGAGTTAAAGAGTACCTAGAGACACTAAGAATCACTGGTTGACTACCATTAGCAAAATGACTCAAAAATGTTTGTAATGAAGATGATTTCTTCACTACTTGTATCCTGTCTGCTTTTGGGAGTTTTAACTAATTATCACTTAATTATTCAGCAACTTCACAAGTGAACTGAATTCTCAACCCGGAACTTTACACAAAAGCGCAGAACCCCAACTGGCTAAACTTCATAAAAACAAACATTAGGGTAGAAAAAAGAAATGCAATGAAACTGAAATAAACTAAAATGCGTAGAAGTAAGAATAACTGAGTGAAGAATAATGGGGACTTAGTGATTTTGACAGATCACATGAGGTGAATGCATCTGCACGAAGAAGAACAATAACATCAACCATTGCTTCTTAGCTATTCAAGGAGTCCAACCACATAATCTACACCTTCCAATGTGTCTCAAGCCAGTGGTAAAAGGGACAGTTAACAGAATCATTATTTAAGGTTAGTATCGAAGATAGAGAAAAAAACGAATCTATTTAAACCACTGTGTTATATTCCATTAAAAGTGTATGAGAACAGATGTTTAGTAACTCTAGAACCGAGAGCAGTTCAGCCTAGGCTTACAAACAAAACTCAACATGCCTTTTTCATCAAGTGGGTCAAAATAAACTGATGAAAAACTGAGTAGTATTCATAAATCATGCATGCATTTAATAATACCTTGTAACCTAAATCAGCCAGCTGTATTTTAGACTTATTACTGTGAGTGAACGAACTGTTCTTATTCTGAAGTCGTCATACACATCTGAACAATCTCAGAGGCACTTCCATAAAAAATATCCTCAATAAAAGTTATCTTTTGATTGGGTACTAGTTATATACGTATAAAACACACATACACACGTATATACGCACACACTTATGCAAATTCGCGTTTGTGGACAGACTATAGTTTAGCTATAATGTGCATATTTACATAAGTCGTTTTGCACACATGTTCATGTGGATATATGTGCCCTATTTGAGTATTCTATTAAACAATACAAACTGTTGTCATAGTGTTTTAATTAGTCTATATTCTTATCATATTTGCGTGGGTGTTACAACCTTGGCTTTAAGGTCATTTGTTCACTTATATTAGAATAAATGAGGCCTTCGATGATCATTTTTTTCTTCATTGTGACTTTATCCTGTCAATATTAACAAGTGTATATGTAGTGAAATAATAAAAGTCCACTTTACTGATTAAAAGAAAATATTCTGTTTACAACATTCAAAATGGTGAGTGATTTTATTCTTTGATTTGATAAGAAGAAAAATATTTTATTAAACATTCTATTTAGGATCAATTTAATCTAGATGAAATTCGTGAAGAAACAGAATGGGAACAGTGTTCACGTAATCCAGATGTGGCAAGATTTGTTAAATCACGAAATTTAATAGAACGCAATCGACTACAATCATTAAGATCTCAGTTGGATAAACAATTAGAATGGGAATTAAAACGACTATCACTAGAGAGACGTGAATTCTCTGATGTCCTAGAAAATCTACGTAAACGTCATGTAAAAATTGATCGAAGAAATGTTAGAACAATGAAAACTAATAATAATAATAGTCTTTTAGTATGTGAAAGAAGTAGAAAACACGATAGACACTTATATTCAATGAATACACTAAATGGTATTCTACCTAAAACTATGTCAAATCCTACAAACTCTTTACACACTACTACCAGTATAAATTCGTATCATTTATCTGCTCCACATATGGCATCTTCTCCAGATTTATCTCGACCTACTGATGATAAAAACAATACAAACAATAACAGTAATAATAATAATAAACAGTTAAATCGTATACCACCAGTTATAAAAACTGAATTCTTAGATTCCACTGAAAAACCTTCACAGTTGAATGTTTGTCATTTAATGTATACTGATTCCGGTGAATGGATACACTTAAACAAATCAAATTTAAATGTATCAGCTCCATCGAGTGCTTCTAAATCATCTGCCTCCTCAAAATGTACAAAATCTTGGTCAGAAAATTAATAACTTTACAAAAACAAAGCAATATATATATATCACAGTGCCTAATATACATATGAAATGTCAAGATAACTTTATTCTACATTCCAAAATGATTAAATATAAATATCTACTGGAAGAAATGATCTGTTTTGATTTCATTCAAATATACTTTAAAAATCTCCTTATTATTATGATTATGAGATGATATCAACATGATGATGTATTCGATTATTCTTTCTTTTTTATCTTATCTCTCCTCTGTCTACTGATTCTTAACACGAATTAATGTAAGTGTATTAGCTTATTGTATATGCATTTGGACATAAAAATTGCATTTAATAAAACAAAATAAATTGAGTACAAAAGCGCATTTCAATTCAGGTTAACAAAAATTTAATAAAATGCAGAAGAAAGAAAAGCATTGCAGTATAAGAAATAAAAAGAGGTAGCGAATTAGCATTGCATGGTTAAAATATCGTTGAATGTATATAAACAATTGGTGATTGTCATTAATTTCAAGCCACATTTCAAGGGGAATCTTTTGGGCCATTACTTGGATATGTCACTATTTCAAGTTTGATCAAGGGATTGATAACAGTTAGGAAACCATCTACCTAGCTTGGAACTCTATAGCAGGACGTACCGATGTCTCCATCAGGGAACGAATGCAGCACCTTCAGGTCACGAGGCGAATTCGTTGACCATTCAGTCACTAAGACGGAATCCAGTGGTCCATGAATTATCATCTCTGTTAATTCGTGATTTTTAGTGTCACCGCCAGCTGGTGTCATCGGCGAATTAGTGGATCTTACTAGTCACGACTTTTCACTAGAACTCCAGGTAATTTCGACCCATAGCCAATCACTAGTGAGTATCAAATTAATTGTCAAGTGCTGAAAATCTCATTGTTAGTTTTATATTTATGTATATACATATATATATGGTGGATTATATTCTACTGCAATTAAAAATTACTCAATTTGCGTGGAAAAACCTAGACTGTCAACAAAAGAGGTGAAAAAGTCACAATGGAATCTTTTACATTATAACTGGACTGTTTATGTTATGAAAAAAATAAGGTGTTCATTCTTATTTGTATATAATAAGTATACCAGGTCAGCACATTGAACAATCTGGAGTGGGATTTCACCAGAGTATATGTGAGTACTTAACAATGTATCCAATTTACAAATCTAATCAAGTTGAATGCTATATCCTACATGAATACTAACGCAGTGTTCAAGAGTATAGAGCATAGTGTTAATCATAAGTATATTTTGCAATTTAAAAACCCTGCTATCATCTCAATGTATATAGGATTTCATCTGAGAAGCCTAAGTAGTTAAATTTTCATTGGTATTCAAATTTAGTCGTATGCTAATTATACTTCATAACAATAATATTTCCATGTTGAATTAAGTAAACTACATTTCGCGGTAGGAACGCCTATTTTATTACTCCCGCTTAAAACAGGATATTATTTGAAGTATTCAAACTGAATGGATATGATGGAAGTTGGTTAATAGTCAGTAGTTTTGCACCCCTCGGTAGTGTAAGTAACATATATTATTCACCTTATCTAGAGTGAAAATGAAATGTTCCTCAGCAACCGCTTGTAATTCCATAGAGTTGGCAGTGAGCCACACTTATTGCATGACAGCTAGTTATACTGTAACAGCAGAAGACAAGGGCCAGGCAACAGATCGTTTATTAAGGAAATCAAAGCATATTTATATATTTTCATGTACATTATTATAGATTAGTTAAGCAAACAAACACAGTCTTCTGATTGGTTGTTTCTCACTTAAAGTTAATCTTTCATCTCTTTGTGACTTTAAACGTAACTGTCCAAACCTCGGCAGGGTTCCAACTCGCTGTCTACTGGCTGGAAGTCGAGCGCCTAGACTAATAAGCTATAACCCCCATTCTTATCTACAGGGAGCTTAGTCAAATATACTACGCAAAATCCTTTAAATGAAATTGTGTCTATCAATTTAAAGAAAACACTGTAACATAGGAGAAAAAACTGTGAAAATCTTAGTTCCAATAGTGTTAATGACAATACACAAGGAGTCAGCTGTAAGTATAACCGAGTCTGTTATAAGAAATTGCTAGTCAAGTAGGAAAGAATTCTAGATGTCGATTTCTTAGTGCTAATCAGCAGGTACACACCACTGATTATCAGCATGTTTTGTAGTAAATTTAAACAGTAATCGACATTGGTAGTATTAAAATATAAACACGAATCAATAAGTCGTATAGCTTTGATTGATACAGGCTCAAATCATCAAAAAAGGATAAGTTTTAAAAAGCCTTTTGGTGATATATTCTGACAAACATGATACCTAAATTGAAAGCTCTGAACTTGATATGAATATATATCAAGAAACTAAAACATCGAAAGCTCACAGATATTTTTTTAATGACATTTTTGGCCTAAAAATAACAAATAGCTTGAAGTAATAGACGGATTTTTGTATTTTTAATGATGCTTATGTAGCCACTATGGAAAGACCGTGCTAAGCGTTAGTGATACAATGGTGAGGATAAATGTCCGTTTTCTAAGGGTTCTGATAAAAACCCTGTGACGGACGTCACATGCATCACCAATTACACTGCGCAGCTAAACACAATACACATACTGATGCTCAAAACACAGTATGTTATTATCGCGAAACAAGTGTTATTACTGGTGAGTTAGGAGTCATTTTGGTGGTATTAGTGATACAAAGCATCAATGTGACGATATTCAATCATTTACGATTCAGCCTATGTCGAGACATTCCAAATTTAGCCTTGTCGGTGTAAGGAAAACGCTGTCTCATGAATTTAATTATGTTCATGCATATTTACGCTACAGAAAAAAAACCACTTGTAGTTATCAGGCCTATCTCAAATACGAGTGCTGCTGAAGTCCTAAATATGAGTAGCGTAGGCGATGTTGCAAATGCTTCACTTCAGAGAAGTGAGAGATACAAAGCAATTTTAACCTCAGAAAAAACCATATGCGGTTTCCCACCATTCGATATCTTTATTCTACTTTGATTACCCTTATATGTATACCTGCCAACTGTTTGAACTCATCAAATTTATTATGATAAATAGAATAAAATGAAATGTTATCTATCAGTACTTGGTAGTACTGTAACGATAGAAGACGAAAGACTTGGTAAAAGAATGTTTATTAGGAATTTGGTATCTCTATTTAGTGGAATTATGTACACGTTATCTTCACCGCACCATTTGCACAAATCTTCCGGGTTGTGCTACTTCTGGCCTTCATATTGTTTCTTTGAGTTCCTTTCATGTATCCCGTGTATCTCCGCAACGCTGTATCATTTGCTTTCTCCAACAACAAATCTATCCCCCTACTATTTGATGTTTTTTATGTCGATGAACGCCTCCTTATATACTACTGATAAATCTTATCAGTAGCACATGCCACAGTACCTCTTTTTCAAGGTTTCACTTCTTAACCATAAAACTTCTCATCTGATCGCATAAACCATTGAATTCTAATATAAATTCGCATTTCTGATTCAGTAGATTATAGTAATCTCCAGTAAACTACCATACTTCGAGTAGCTAAAATACTTCACAAGTACCTATGGTTTTAAGAATATCCGTTCCACATAGTTTGTCAACATAACCATTGGACGAAGCAAACACATAAGCTTGTTTAGTGATTAAATTCTTGAAGTATATTAAAAAGATTATTGACTAATTAGGAAATTGGAAACGGTCTTTCTCACATGTACTCAACCAGTTTACTGATTTATACGATTATGAAAACATTTGTCTAAAAAGACTATTTATCGAATAATGTGAGCTGGAGCTATTTGTCGCCATTAAGTTATCACCTGCTTTGATTTTATCACACTTAGTAGGCAGCATAAGTGCAAGATAAAAATGTTAGGTAAAATAGAAAGGTCGAAAATGTTAGCTGCGCTTAGTTTCATTCAGAAAATTGAATATACAGCTTTCTCCGGGTTTTAGTAATATTTCCGATTCCCTATCCTTATTTTTGTTGTGGTAACTTCGATCGACTCCCAGTTATCTTGACCCTATATCGTTATCTGCTATGGGATATAAAAATAGTCTTGCAGTAGTACTGCCTTACATCTTCGAATATATAAGTATCGTTTGACGAATAAGTTATAGGTATACTACTTCCATCACATTCTTTGTTTCATTGTAGTAATCTAATTCATTCTATCAATGGTTATTCTTAGCGCTTCATTTAATTACAATTTGAGGATGGTCAGTACGCAGGTGCAGAGAATAGACAAATGTTACAGACGTGAATATATGGCTATTTGATCACTTCAGTTTAGTATACACTATTTGACAGTGTATGTATAACGAAAACCATTTGTCATAGACCACATTATGATTAAATCAGTAGTTTCATATTCACAAATATCATACAAATAGGTGAAAACCAACAAGTTGGTAGAAGAAGCAGAGAAGACAGGAATTCAAGTGAACATAGGATAGACAGAGGTGATGGGGATACTCACTGACCACCAACAACAAATACCAATCACTATCAACGGGAGAAATTTGAAGGAAGTTACTTCATTCACTTATACAGGTAGCGTCGTTTCAACTACAGGCGGCACGGATTAGGATGTCATAGCCAGGGTCGGAAAAGCAACGTAGACCCTCAGCAATCTGAAATCAGTCTAGAAATCTACTGCACTAAGCAACAAGATAAGGATGTCAACTCAGTTCTCCTATATCGTTCAGAGACGGCATTTCACCAAAAGAATTTCCAACAGGTTTCAGACTTTTATCAACAGTTACCACCCGTCCGTACTAAAGATTAGATGGCCAGTTGAAAAGGATAAGCGACAAGGAGATCTGGCAACGAACCGAGCCCAAGAAATATCCCGAAGAAAACGGAAATACATTTGACACACGCTGATGAGACCGTTGAATGACATCACGTGCCAAGCCCTCGAGAAGTACTCGAATGGGAAACGATGAGTTGTGCGTGCGAAGGTAACATGGAGGAGATTGTGTGATGAGATGAGAACCTATGTGCAAACGTGGAGCCAGTGAAGACGACTGTAGAAAACGGGGTGAAATGGAGATGGGCTGTTGAAGCCCTATATGCTCCGTCCTCCTTTATGGCTGTGAGACCTGGCCATTGAGAGCAGAAGACATGAAAAGATTAGCTGTCTTAGATCATAGGTGTCTGCGTTCTATCTCCCGCGTGAAGTGGTATAATAAGGTGAGCAATATTACGGTTATGCTTCGGTCGAGTGCTAGGTAAGGAGGGGAAATCAATTGACGAGGCTGTGAAATTACATCGACTGAGATGGTTAGGACATGTGTTACGTATGTCTAGTCATCGCCTCCCTCGATCTACGAGCAATGTTAGCTGATATAGGGTCAGGCTGGAAAAGAGCTAGCGGCGGTCAAACGAAAACATGGCACCAGTCAATGAAATCTACAACAGTTAGTTTAAGCCATGTAGGAAGGTGTAGACTTGCTGGTTGAGGTCCCCAGGACGGTAAAAACCAATGGTTGGAAACAATTGGTGACATGGCTCAAATTCGTTCTCAATGGCGCAGATGCATCCACTCCTTGTGACTCATGTTTTTTTTCTTCGTTATTACTATACCTTTGTCTCACACCTCTGTTTACTGTTTATATTATGCATTTCTCCTACTTTCTCCTCTTACTTTGTGTGCTACATGGAGTGTGGCGACTTGAACTGCCGCACATATGTGCAAAGTTCTATGTCGAAAACAGACAGACAGATTCCGAACGTTAGGGAGTTACCACTATCATACATATTCAAAAGAAGTTTATTATTAAAAGCATAAATAGAATCCAAATTTTATTCTGAGTGTTTACAGGAAAGAAAATACTAATGTATTCACTATTTCCAATAGCAACGTGAGCATATGTCAATTGTGAAACAGTGATCTGTAATGCCACAGTCAATGACAAGTAAGTTTATATCAGTTTTTACTATACATCACATAAGGCGTTTCCATTCGTGGCGGCTGTAGACGAATACATTTATGATTCAAAAATGAAAGATCACTTTCAACAATTAACGGTATCTGTATTTTGTTAAGTTACACAAATGTATACGATTATAAAATAAACCAAAATTACTCAAGTGTTTAAATAGCTTAGAGACAAAAATTCATTGACCCATTTCAAGATGTACAAAACTCTCCAAGTTTAACATCAGTAAAAAAAAGAATACTGTAAAGTATTGAGAAATTAACTCATGCATGCATAGTTTTACCCAAACCAAAGAGGAAGAAGGAAGTTCATTTTTTGTTATACTTTTGATAATTACATCTGAGGAAATTAGGGAAGATAAGCAAGCAGTTAAATCATTTGTTTTCTTTAGGAGCTTCTGAAGTACTTTCATTCTGACTTTGTTCTGAAACCTAAAGGAACAAATAAGAAAGATATAAAATGATCACTATTCAGAGGACACTTGTTTTAAAAATACAGTTCAGTAGCTAAAATTGAGCTAATATGATGAACTGTCAAACTTTATATCCCCATTTGCACTACTCACAACGATACTTCTTCATCATTCGCGTATTATATAACTATGGTGTACTTGTATAACATAACGGAGTGCAGTCTGGTATGACAAAGTACAATCTCAGAAGAAACACAATTATATAAGTGAAGAAACATAAGTTTATTGCAACGAATAAGATGAATAACAATTAAGTGAAACTAATAAACACAGCAGTTTATACAGATACCTAATTCACCACTAAGGACAAAAAAATGTAAATTCAGACTAATCTTACCTACTTAAAAATAGTCGAGTATACACCAAATATTTCATGGCCTTGTTCGGGAAGGAATTTTCCCAATACTTAAAATCTACAGTGCAATCAAAGGAATTTTATTACCTTTAGGATGAGGAAAGTATTGATTTGACGGACTTGGACAATAGTTCACTTCCTATTTTCACTGGGACTCGAAATCTCTAGAATAGCAGTTTTACTAGGGTTGCGGTGGTGTGATACAGACAACGTGTTCCAACGGATTATTATTCTCACATATTCCCACAGTTCAATACTGCATTAGCCACAGAATACTATATTTGTATTTGAAAATGCTATTTCATATCCTTTAATGTAAACCAAAATCACACGCTCAGTGATTGGTTAAAGAATATAAACTGTGTATATATCAATAGCGGTTTGATCAATTGAAAATATACGTTTTCTTCCGTGTCTTGCCTTCTGCTATTATATTGTAGTTGTAGTGAACCCCTTCACTTAATAAATCCACTTTTAGATGGACGTAAAGTCAAACTTTTACATGAAATGATGAGCATTAATCACACTTGTGGGCTTTACACGGACTAGCATGCACGGAATGTTGAGACACTATTTATACGTCTGTGCTAGGACTTAAAGAATATAAGTGAACAGAACTACTAAGTCTCAATTACAAGAAGTTTGGCGAAGATATCTTTTCGGCGACTTCACTCTGAAAAGCTATGCAAATGCAATTTATACGCAGAAGTTCGCACAGTCATAATAACCATTTAGTTCAAGATAATAACGAAGGTAGATTAAAAGAGATAATAATTTTTAACCTGATATGAAAAAGGAATATGAATCACAAGAAGCATAGAAACCAAAACAACACAGGATTAGGAAAATAGCTGCGTAATATGTAAAATAGTTTTTGACAGAGGAAAGCGTAAACAGGATATGCATAGAAACACAATGTAGCAATGCTTTTATAGCTGAAGATGAAGAAGTATGAGGAAAACGGGGAAAAAACAACTAAGGAGCCAAACAGGACTAGATCTTTGGTAGATACACAGTTGAACTAACTTTCACACCAAATTGAAAATTGTTGTCACTTTTAATATCTCTTCGTTACTATGGTGAGTTATATAATAAGTATAACTATGCGAGATTATATATAGCGATGACAACTTTACAGCTTTTGCGAATGGGACCGCCCAAAAGACATCTTTGCTACAAATCAGATTGTCAATTTACTCATTTATTACTGACTAATGAGTTTCCATGAGTCAAAAAAAAATAGGATGTGCTAACAAAAGCCAGTTGCGACAAAATGCAAAAGCAGGCAGGTGTGAAGTGCTATTAGGATCTTGCATCTATCTAGCGATTGTTCAAAAACATTACGTACCGTATTGGACACATCCGGTGTAACAAACATTGACGGATCAAAGACACCTTGGGTAATCGCCATCTCAGTTTTAAGTGTACTTAGTTCACTTAAGAAACTCTGCGCCACCTCGTGCTGGATACTAGCTGCTAAGGAATCCCAATTATGAAGGTAAATCCATGGTTCTTCAAGAACCTTCTGATACGCTATTGAATTCTGTAAACAGGAAATATCCATATGAGGAACCACAAATTCATCGTCTGAAAAAAACCGAAGAAACTAGTTAAAGTTGTGATTTTTAAGTATAAGGTTTAAATTTATGTTTACACACCAAAGACGAGTCTAATCTAAAATATCTAAACAGATATACAATGAGGCTTTTATATTTTAGGATCAAATTGGAATCCAAGTTTTATTGTCAAGATAGTTTACGAAGATTGAATACTGACATCAGAATTCCCCATTCACATGCTTAGACTTAGTCTGTAGTTGAGGTCTCTTGACGAAATGGTTGGACGCTATTTACAATGCGACATCTCCTTTGAAGCTTTTCGGTAAGCAAAACCATGTGGGGACTTTCGCGAAACTGTATCAGATCAATCTTACACATTCGAAGATAACATAGTGAACATGTTAGTAATTGAATAAATGAGAATATCATAATTTTCTTTACAAAAAATTATCATGTCCGAGAGTACAAAGTGTCTCGAAATATTACTCACGAGAACGAATAAAAATGAGCTATTCAGGAGATTTCAAAGAAAATATATATAGGTTCACTGAAGTTTGATCAAATGACGTGTTAGTTAGATTCTAAATCACTAAACATCAATAAGATGTCTGAAATGGTATTAATGAGATGATGTCAAAATTTTACTACAGCAAAATGTATCACCGACTACACGTCCGAAGCCTAAGTATTGGAAAACACGACAGTTATTAATTACCCAGCTTCCATAATCTTAGGATCCACTATGTAGAAGAGTCGCTGACCTACAATATTTATCGCTTAGTGGGACTGTACTCCTCATAAGAACGAGACTAAACAGTAAGTTCATCAGAGAGCCTTAGGATCTAAGGTGTGATGCGACAAAATGTTGAAGTAAACCTTAAGACCCCGAAACAACGAACATGAGTGACGTCTGAGGAATTGTCAGATTCCTGTATAAGTGACCTGGAGTCACTTAGACAAATTGACCCTTGAACAGATACTAATGCGACAAACTGTAATATAAAACTGTACAACATATTCCAGAGATCTCTCCAGTGTAACAAATCTTAAACGGAACTACACACTTTTTATGTTCATGCCTACTTTCTACTTTCGCATACACCTAAGATTTTATGCGGTAATATTACAGGATAAAACATTTAGATTTTAGTATCAGGTACAGAGTCCAAGGTGTGATTTTGCCTTTAGGAGTTTATTATTAAACCTCAGTTACATGCTTGGTAGCAGTAAAATTTATCACTTATTAGTTACTTTGTTACAATATGATTTTCACTCCATAAGGGAACTGTAAAAAGTCTTTCGGAACAAAGGTCAGGAAACATAGCTGTGAGATCGTAGAAAAAAACATTAACTCAACTGAAACTGCTTACTTATGCTACTTGGACATTTTGAAACTTATGTAATATGATGCCGACAGGGACTAGACTATGTCCAAGGTAAGACAATTGCACATCTCTTAAAATAACAACTATAACTATGGCATTTCCAAACTGTGGTACTGCTTGGTAGCTAACTCTAAACTTAAAAGTTTACCTCAGTTCACGTGAGAACTCGAAATTAGAAAACTTAATATATAATATCACAATCAACACCTCTGCAAAAACTTTACTCTTCAGCGACCATCACTTCTTAAGCTTCAGATTTTGAAAAAGGTAGTAAGCATTTTAAACTTTGCTTAGTTTACCAGCCTCTCCCAAGTTCGAAAAAGAGGGGAGGTTGCGTATAGGGCTAGAAAACCCATCGCTAAGGGAAATAAACTTATTCATCACTGGAACCAGGAAGACTCCACAACTTGGAGACAAATGATGCCGGCGGGTGAAAGCCTTCGGGAAACCAAATGATCACCGTCTTTCTATGGAAGCAAAAGTAAGCATAGGGACGTCAAATGTTCGCACCAGGTTTGAGATTAGCAAGACTGCTCAGATTGCAAAAGAAATGAAAAGATATGGTAGAGAAATGTCCGAGATTTATGACAGCAGATGGAAAGGAAGTTGACTCCAAACTGTAATTTAATATGGTCATCCAGACAACGACCATGAGCACACTGAGAGTGCAACTGTTATGACGTCACAACATTAGAAACTCATGCAGTAGGTGGGAAAATGTTGGAGACACTAAGCAATATCCCCAAGAAAACTTGTGTGCAGGGACACTGAAACTCTAAAAGTGATGTACAAGGAAAGCTTTATAGCCATCTCAGGCAAGAAGAGATAAGATATAAGAATAGCTCCTTCGAAAGCCGATAGAGAGATGGTGAAACAGGATGAACCAGTGGAGAAAGTGTGATCAGTAGGGCACTGAACAGAGGAGTAAAGAAGGCTTTTAAGAAAGACAAAAGACGCTTTTACGGATCACTAGTTAATGAAGTAGAACAGGTCACATGTAAGAGACCTCTCAACAGTATATTAATTAACAAGGTCGCTTCCCGAGGAGAGATCAACACACATGAAACTAGTGAAGGGGACCCAATCACCAAAGGAATGGAACGAAGGAAACATTGGGTTAACCACTTTAAATGACTCTTGGATTGATCACTACCTACAGCTCGCCCAAAAATACCACCAGTTAACATGTCTTTCAATATTAACAAGTCTACATGGCTATGCAGTTACTGAAATCTAGTAAAGCAACCAGACCAGCGGGGATTCACCAGAGAACTCAGTGAACATTCTCCCACCCGTATTGCAGAAAGTTTGTAATGAAACAAAGGGGAGCTGCCGATTTTAAGAAAGGCTAACTTATCAAAATGTCGCAGAGGCGGGGCTCAAGCCTGTGCAAGAACTAGGGCAGCATCTAATTCCTTTACACTCCAAGCAACGGACAGGGCCGCTTCATCCTGGAGAGATGCTTAGGATACAAAACCAATGAGAAAGGCTGGACCCAGGAAAAACAAGCCATGAGCGTACCAAATTTTAAGACTAGGCATCATCATCGAAAACAGCTGAGAATCGCAATCAACTTTCTCTTCTCACTTCATCGACTTTGAAAAGGCATTTGACAGCGGCGATCGTGAAGTAATTTGGTAGCTGCTTTAGTACTATGGCCTACAGTGCAGCTAAACATTTTCAGACTTTATTCAACAGCTATGTGATGCCAAATGAGAATCGGATCATCGGTCGGTTTTCGACATAGAACTTTGCACATATGTGCGGCAGTTTAAGTCGCCACACTCCATGTAGTACTTACTTACTTTTACTTTGCTTCGGCTATCTCCTACGGAAGGATGAGCCGGCTTCATGAACTTTTCAAATCATCGCTACCCAGGCGCAGCGATCTGATGAAGAGAGTTTACGAAGTTTCATGGGAATTTGGTACGAGTGATGTCCCCAGAACCACTCGGCCTTTTGTTTGAGAGTGCAACTCTAGCCTTTACACAACCAAGTGTGACCTACAAGGCAGTAGGAGTGGAGTAGGGAGTCCACTATCCATTGGCAGCCGGTGACCGGAGTTCGGTTCATACGCCTTTTTGAATGGGGCCAGACATCCAGGACATCCAACAAGCCCTTTGTCCATACGTCTGCCGGTTAGCTCCAGTGAGCTTCATACGCCAGTGGTTGGAGGTTTGGAATCAGGGTTTAGCCATCTCCCCTAGACTGTCATCCAATGGACAGTCAACCCGGTGAAGAGCGCCGGGCATCCGCTTTCGCCCTCTCACTTTGGTGAAAAACACCTCCGCCACGTGAAGGCAGTGAGTAGGACTTCCTCAGGAGAGGCTATGTAAGACGCCCGGTCATATGGGAGCATTTCAAGAGGTGTGCGGAGGGGTGGCCAACCCGCAGCGCAAGGCACCCACCCCCGACCATCCTGAGGCTTTGGAGGCACAAAGCAAGAGACGAAAGTAGGAGAAATGCATAGTATATACAGTAAACAGAGGTGTGAGACAAAGGAATAGTAATAACGGAGAACAAAACAGTTTCATTGGAAATCTTAAGTCACAAGGAGTGGATGCATCTGCGCCATTGAGAACGATTTCGAGCCATGTCACCAATTGTTTCCAACCATTGGTTTTTACCGTCCCGAATCATACAGTGAGAAAACAGGGATACACTGGACCTACGGAAAGACCTGTATTCGAGAATTTATACCTCATGTCGCATAAACTCGAAGATTTACAATCGAAAATCAGCAAATTGACAGACGGCGTAAAGGAGACAGTATTTCAAATGAAGATACCCGACCAATAACAATAATAACCAGTCACTGACAGTTGGGTAAACCTGCAGTTATTCAACTCTTCTACTCACCACTTCAGATATAGTTTTAGCAGGCGACTTTAATGCCCAAGTAGGGAAGTTGTGCCAGACTGAGAAGTATGTAGGTGGCGTGTATGGAGTTCCGTGCCAGCGAACCGACAACGGTGACCGTCTTCATCAGATAATCATCTATTCCTAGTCAGCACTAACTTTAGGCAAAAAGAGAGACAATGAGTAACCTGGCGACTTCCATCATCAAACCAACGCTCGACACAAATAGACCACATAGCAATAAGCTATCGTTGGCGTGGGTCGGTAGGAGATTGTCGCTCCTTCTGGAACACGTGTGTAGATACCGATCACGCACTGGTCCGCGCTCGTGTGTGCTTACGACTGAACGGACGTAGGAAACAGCTGGCGATAAACCCATCACGTCCCCAGCTCAATCAGGAAACTAAGTCCCTATTTGAGGAAGAACTAGCTAAACACATACCTGAGTTCGACAGCTGTGCTCACCCTGAAGAAACCTGGAAGAATATTCAGTCAGCCATAGGTACAGCTGTAAAAGCTGTGAATAAGGTAAATCCAAAGGTGAGTAAAAACCATTGGATTTCGACTGCCTCATCCAAACTGATAGATACTAGAAGACTTATTCCGGCGAGCTCCGAATTCAATGAGGAGTGAAAGCTGCACAAAAGGAAACTTACGAAAAGTCTCCGCAAGGACCGTGAACAGTGGTGGGTGACAAAGGCGAAAGAGATGGAAAAAGCATCGGCGATAGGCAACATTAGGCAACTCTTTAGACTCATCAGGGAAACGGGTGGGACAAGGCAAATCATAAGTGAGACTATTTCTGAGAAAAATGGCTCCTTAATTAGCTCTCAGGATAGACGCCTTGAACGCTGGAAAGAACACTTTGAGGAACAATTTAATTGGCTTACAGCCAGTCTCAACTTACCGAACATCCAACACCTCCCTGAATGGGATATAGACACAGGTCCTCCGTCCCTAACTGAGGTTACTAAGGCTGTCACTAATCTGAAACGAGGCAAAGCTGCGGCACCCGATGGAATGACTCCAGAGGTGTTTAAGGACGGTGGAGACAGTTTACTGTTTACGTTAACTAAGGTATTAGGCAGCGTCTGAGAATCAGAGATAGTCCTGTCGAGCTGGTGTAAGTCATTGATTATCCCGATATACAAGATTGGAGACAAGTCTTCCTGTGATAATCACAGGGGAATTAGCTTGAATAATATGCTATCTAAAGTTCTAGGCTCAATAATAACGCATAGACTAAGCGGTGCTCGGAAGGAACAAACACGAGAGAACCAGACAGGCTTTAGACCAGGAAGAGTGTGTATTGATCATATCTTCACCCTCCGACAGATTCTGGAGCATAGGCATACTTACCGGCGGCCTCCAACAATAGTCAAGTTTCTTGACCTGAAAGCGGCATTCGATTTTGTCGACCAACAGGCAGTCTGGCGATGCTTGGCTGTGAAGGGATGCCGAGGAAATACGTTGCACTGATCAAGGCACTCTACTCGAACTCATGCAACCAGGTGAGGGCTTACGGCGAGTTGTCATGTGAAGTGGTGGCAACTAATGGTGTCTGTCAGGGATGCCCACTATCCCCATTTCTGTTTAATTTCATCATAAATGTCGTCATAATGGACTTAAGTCTAACTCAATTCAGTGACTAGGACATTGACTTGTTATCGTCAGGGTATAATAGCCTCGTTGACTTAGAATATGCGGATGACACAGTCCTTCTAGGTGAAGACACTAACAAAATGCAGAGTCTTCTGAACATCTTGAGCAGCAATCTTCGAATGTTTGGCATGAGACTCGCTCCCGCCAAATGTAAGATGATGCTACAGGACTGACTGGACTACATTGACTCCTAGCCTAGAGATACGGAGTGAAGTGGTAGAGCGCGTTGACCGCTTCACTTATTTGGGAAGTTGCATCAGCCAACGCCAACGCGTTGATCGCTGACGAAATCTCAGCACGGATACAGAAGGCTCGTTTCGCATATGCCAGTTTACGCCGTCTCTGGCTGTTGAGCAAAGGGCGTGTGTACTGCTCAGCAGTCCGCTCCGTCCTCCTTTATGGCTGTGAAACCTGGCCATTGAGAGTGGAAGACATGAAAAGACTAGCTGTCTTTGATCATAGGTGTCTGCGTTCTATCTCCTGTGTGAAGTGGTATAATAGGGTGAGCAATATTGAGGTTAGGTGTCGAGTGCTAGGTAAGGAGGGGAAATCAATAGACGAGGTTGTGAAGTTACATCGACTGAGATGGTTAGGAAAACAGGCAATGTTAGGTGACATAGGATCAGGTTGGAAAAGAGACCCGAATTTCCAACACAAAAGTAAAATTAGTGCTTCTATGTATGGTTCAGAGACAATACGTACGTCAACATAAACACTTCCAAAAGGGTGATGCATATTTTCATCAACACTTATCTTCACTTGATACTGAAGATCACATGGATAAAAACGATAAACAACAGGGAACTCTGCCAGTCAGCCTGTCAAAAATGCATTGCTTAACAAATATACAGAAGGAAATGAACATGGATAAAATATCTGCTGTGAAGACATTCTAATGACATCACACACCGTGCCATCGAGTGGAACGAGAATAGACAGCCAAAAGTTGGACTTTCGGAGGTGACACGGATATCGTATGAATAAGAAATAAGGGTTGTGGGCAGTCGTGGTAACAATTTAAAGCGAAGACAGAACGACTGGCTTCCCGGGGAAGCTAAATAGAGACGTATAAGAATAAACTTCCCTAAAGTTTCGACACCAATACCTACTGTCTGAACTTTAAAGTTAACTTGAAGGTTAACGTATAAGAAATAGGGAACTACAACGGAAAACTCCCTATTGGCCAGAGGGCCAATTATATTATTTAGGAACAAAAAAGCCTTTCAAAAAATGTTGAAATAAAGTTGATAAGTGAAATTTGTTTGGACTATGATTCTTCAACCTCACACGACCGTAGTTTCCTTCCGAATCAGTTAAAAGTTGCATACCTTGTGATGTCATGCTTTCAGAGAAGTAACGCTTACAGTCAAAATACACACTTATCGGTGAACTGACGGTCTGAGGAGAAAAACAATATGGTTTTGTGTAGTTATCTGAAAGTTTAATATGTTTTTTAAAGACGAGCTTATTTGCAGTCACTTAAAAAAGGGCATTGAGGCTCACACTTAATTAGGTCTAACGGGCAGCCTAATGGTCATAGTCCCTGTGCGGCTTTGATTAACCACCGTCCGATCAAGACCTTCCACAAAGGGTTCATTTACCACATTAAACCGCAATCGAAAAGATATGGCAGCGCAAACCATTCCTGTCTCTGTGTTCCTCTATCCTTAGTATATTTTCATGAGGACGTCCGTAATAACCTAAAATCAGAACGTTTCTGGTCATATATAGTCATTTAATTAAGGATTAAGTGACCCTTAGCTGGCGGTAGTTAAGTGTAAAATACTTTATATCCACCAAATTTACCCACACGTTTTGTGCCGAAAGCACGTGACCTCCGGAACTTGTCCTACAAGAGGTCAATCGCGAGCCCGAACAGCTCAATGGTAACGTCTCTGACTGCAGCACTAGGTGACGCAGGTCCAAATCTCAGAAGAGACATGAGTTCCTTCAAGGTTGCAGATACGCTTTGCTGACGAGTGCCAACTAACATGAAACCTAGGTCCATGGCTTCCTACCGATTGCCTCCAACTATCTTATACTTTTCCAATAAGTTAGTGTCCTTTATAACTATGGGTGGGCGATGATATTACGCACCACATGGTGCCATCGTAAATAGTTTTAATACAGCTTCATGAAGGCTTTGACGTGCGTGAAACTGACCTTCATATTATCGGCTGCTATATATTCTTAAACTGTATTACATTTTCTGCTCTTCTATCGGAAAATGTCACTCAATGCTGATATATGCCTTATGTAATAGGTTAAAGAAGGCAGTAAGTTCAGAAAATAAAAGTATACTTTAGATTTTCATGAAGTCATCTCAGTAAATGTGGCTTATCTATTGCTGCTCGACAACACATACTGAATAAGGCAGGCAGAGCCACTCCAAAGAAGGGGTATGCCAAGTAGTCACCCTTCTGGCAGATACGCTGTTGAGGGGTGTTACATCAAGTCATAGAGTGAAATTGTCAACAGAGATGAAAATATCAGTGTATATCTTACAGCCACTGCACCAGTAACTCTCTGAAGAAACGGTCTCACAGTCTTGACCAAGATCCAAAACAAATGCAGACTGTTACATATAGAATTACATTGATAACAGACAGTTGAAGAACTGCAAGATTGTTGTTCTGCTGAAGAAAATATACTGGATAAATATGGCGCAAACTGTCAAAAACAAGGTTATCCGGCATCCAAAAACCAAAAACACAGTGGCTGAACCCAAAATGGCTCCCATATGATAAAAGAATACATTCAAACCAGAAAATATACAATAGTCCGACGAGACACAAAAGGTCTAATTAACACAAAATGCGAAATGGTATTTAAAGCGGACTTTAGCATTTAAAAGTGCAATGTTAGACGTAACAGTAACCATGAGATTTCGGGGTATCTCCAACCAGATGCATATGAATAAGACCAAAGCTGGCATCTGAAGTAAGAAGTGTGTGGAGAGGTTTTCTGGCATATCTCATTACTTTGCACTTTTGGCAAGCTAGGCACATATGATACCAATGTCTCACTTCCTTTCTAACAACATGCCGAAAAGACCGAGAGGAGATAGGCTTGATGTTAGTTAAGATTCCTGTGCGAGATAAGCAGAATGCTGCAATACAGACGTCACTCCCATAACTTTTAGGCGCGACAGAGTGAGGAGTCCTTGAGGAAATGTCAAAAAATAGTATTCCCACCTACATTCAATAGTTTTTCTCGTAATTCCATATTTGTTAACATTCAGTGTTGAGGCTCACTTGCTTCTTTTTGAAGACCAACCAGTCTCATTTGGCATATCCTGTATGTTTTATGGAGTAACAAATACTCTACAAGCATCTGCTACATTTCTCCAGGCCCCATATCCGCAGCAAATATTTAACGCTAACTACTGAATGTAATCTGTTATGGAGAAAATTTATTTCGATGAAGCCTCACAGTGTTACACAACAATATTTACTGATGACATTTTGAGCACAATTTATAGCTCATAATCGTATGAAGTTACTCACACAACATTCCAACTTCGTTTAAATAATTCCACTATTTTTCATCTACTGAAATGGTTGGTAGTAGTATTTTCTGTATTTCCGGTATGGGTGACTAGTCATTCCTATTGCACGTGGTGGGTGTAGACTCAATGAACAAGGATTCAGTAATCAACCTTTCTCTCCACCAACCTATATTAATTCTTAGAATTTTAACCCTCTGTCACCCTATTGTGTGGTTGTGTGTTAATGCATGCAGGGCAAATGCTGAGGTTTCTTCTAAATTGCTTTTCTTCGCAGGGTCAGTCATTCCAACCTCCACCAAATTCCCATGTTCTGATAATCTCACTACTCCTGATCTACTAGTTTGACTTGTGTAGTTGACTTAACTCACACTCATTGCAAGGTATTTTGTAAATTATACTGTTTTTTCTAATTGGGTCAGCAGGCTCCTTTAACCTACAGAGCTTGTCCCTGAGTGAGTTTGTAGGTTTCGAAACTACCCTATTTCGTGCCTTATTAATATTCCTACATAGGGTTTCAGATGTCTCATGTCCTTCTAGAATCAATACTAGAAGATTGTGTGCTCATCAAGCAAGCTTCAGTTACCGGCCACCGGAAAGTTTTCGGAATTCTGCCAGCCAACGTGGTTAAATCGTCGATTGCAACCCATTGATTGGTCACAAATACAGTTTGCACTAGTTGTGGCAGCTAAGACTAAAACGACTCTCTAAATTTTCCTTGACCGGGTTTTCGCTGGTCGACGACTTAACGCATTTGTGAGATCATGTGTTTATCTAAATATACCCTAGTTCGATATTATGAAGGAGTTTGTCAAGATGTTGACGAACTGAGAGATCGTTTCTCTTTAGATTGACTGTTTTAAGCGTCCCAAAGAAACCACCTAAATCTTGAGTGAACATGTGTGAGGCAGCGGGCTTGCTGAATTTCCATGACAGAGCAAAGAATCGTGAACATGTTTCAGTAACCCAACGTTCATGAGAGTCGCCTTCAGCTCGCAGAAACCATGTTTCTGAATTGTCTGGCCAAAATGCCACCAGTTGAGTAGGGATGCTAATTGGCTGAATGAGTATAAGTTCTGGTGTCTGGTCACACAATGCAAAAATGGCTCCTGTTAAAATAGAGCCAATACAACAGGTGAACAAGCGCAAAAATGAGCTAACTCAGTGTCGTTGACAATTAAAACTTTGTGGACTTCATGCCCTACGCTTTGTGCCTTGGTTGATGCTCTTGTAAGTTTTGTGGATGCCTGATCATTTGACGCAGAAAGTGAGTCAGGAAGAACTGTTGTACGTTTGGGTAACTATGCTTTATTTAGAGGTTGTCTGAATTATAAGCCGCTGTTCATACAACGACCTCCAGTAATATAAAAAGGTGTCCTGTCAGTTTGTTGATTCTGTGGTTTCACTTTTCATCACAAATATCCTAAGGATGGTTATGAAGTTGTGTGGCGACCGACCGAATTTTTCATCATATCAGCGAAATCACAACCTTTCAAGAATAACATCGTAATTGAAACTTATAACGACTGTGAATGCTTGGAGATGATCAACGAAGGTGTAGTCAGTAGACTACTCATATGTCATTTTTCTTGCGAAAATGTATTTTCACTCAGTTATAAAGTGATTAGCAAATAGCCGTTCAATTATTGTCATGATATGTAGGCTTTTTGTAACATTTTTTCGGTTAAATGCACTGTGAGAAAATCTAGGCCTGATTAGATTTGTGACATTTTTCTTCCCGTGTTTTTTGAAATGAAACTGGTACAAGTAGAAATAGCATGTTGTGAAGTCATGTTATGGCGAGAGCTGTCTGTCAGCCAAAGACGTTAACAACAATCTACGACTATGTTTGCGTCCCGAATCGGGTTAAGGAGGGAAAACAAGAACAAAGCTTAACCCTGAGGAACTCGACAACCAGTCACAGAAGACCTGGCTTGGCGAATACAGACAATCAGAAGACGTTGCTTCTCTGTTAAAATAACAAATAGTAATGTACATAAAAATCTACAAATATTCCTTGATTTTCTCAGTAAAGGATCTGTTGCCTGGCCCATCTCTTCTGTTGTTACAATGTTACTGACCAAACTTTTGCGAACAGGTAAGTCAAAAAATAAATTCCGTCAGCTTAAAAGAATGTAATAATAATTTGTATTCTGTATTAGCGGGGGAGTGTTTAGAGTGTCTACCACTCAAGTGAATACAAATACCTGATTTTTATAGCTTACTGAGATGAAGATATTTCGATGGAACAGAACAGTCCAAACAAGGATAGTGATAGCAGAAACCAAAAGAAAAATACAGTGAACTAGTTCGATACACTTTCATATACATATATGTATGTAAATATATATAGAGGCATCGACGATGTATGCGGAAAAATTCTATGATGCATAAATTTCACGAAGGCAGCAGAACTACTGCATATGCGGACCTATCTGTCATAGCCACATTGTTATTACATTTGTCACCTGGGTTTTCTGAGTTGTAACTATTAAGGCAGACATTGAATTAGTAAATCGTTTGCGCTGACTCGGGCCAGAGTACTGAGAGCATAACCGAAATCGTAATGCGATTGAGTTGTTGACTGTTAACAAACAAGCCATGTACAGACAATGAAGCCGACTCATACAACTACGTCGTAATTAAGCAGATAGTGTCAAAGAGAACTTTTACAAATCAGTTCTTGGAAGTGAATTTTCTAATACCCATGTAGTTGTGCCTACGACTGTTTTGTAGAGGTGTAACTATCGAAAGCTGGATCAAAATATTCAACTCTTGGTCACTTACGGCACTGGAACAATGGCAGTTCACATATACCTCCTTGGACTTGTATGCCTTGGTCTGTGCATACTTTTTCAACACCAACAAAGTGAGTTGAGGATGACTGGTGACTACGAAAGTCATAACAAT